CACACACGATAATCCCCTGGTAACCATACACGCCTTCCAATCTTACCAAACTGTAATATGCTTACTGTCCCTCAAATAAAATGTTCTAATCCCTATCTCTATACCACTACCCATTCCCCCACCCCTTTCTTCTCCCAGCTTCTCTCATCTGGAATTCTATATAAACTTCTTTCCAAACACTACCATTTTGAGGGTCAGGCAAAGTCCCATCTCTCTACTAAAGGACAAAGTCTTCCCTGACTATTCTAACCCTATGGTCATCTAGGCTCTGACCCTCTTTAACTTTTATCACGCATCTGGCTCTAATCTTTTTGCTGCCTAATTCTGTTAATTAGCTTTTCACAAGCTTTTGAATTATCTTCCAATTAGATTGTAAGCTCCTTAAAGGCAGACTCCTATATTCTGGTTTTCGTATCTTCCTCATGCATCTACATAGTAGATACTCTACATGTCCTGGTTTTGAAAAGTAACCTGGTCAATCCAAACTTGACCCAACATGTACATTTAGTGTTCTTTACAGATTTTTCTAGAACCATGTTCATACATCCTTTGTATAGACATGGATTTTCTGCTAGCCCAATCAATTCTTTGAGTTTTTGATATCAGAACTCGTCAGCTGACTCTGTGTCCCAGCCACAAGACTGCAGTTGTTCATCCTGTGGGAACTCAACTTCGATGTCATAAATGAAATTTGGATCATCCTTCTTCTTTTGATTTTTCTCAAAAAGTTCATCCATGATGCTCTTTCTCTTAGCAAGTTCCTTATCATCTAGTTTGTTCAGGTCTTCCTCAGGATCAATTGTTGTTTCCCGTTGAATTTGTTCCATTGTTTCTGCCAAACTCTGCCCCCACAAGTAACCTCGTAAAAAACTGAATAACTTCTCTAGCTGCCTCAGGGACACTTGTTCCAGGTAATTCTTGTGTCGTGGATTATTCTTTAATTGTTCAGCAGCTCTGTTGCAATCTAGGAGGGAAAAATGAAACTATATACCACACACAACAGATACACTGCAAACTACTGAAAGCATTATCTGCTATGAGAGCCAAGTAGCTAAGTGGCTTTTTCAGAATTAATTATTTTGCAGAACTATTATTCCTTTATATCGAGCTTTGAGTGTGGTGGGGGAAGGAGGGATGCATTTTTTATTTCCTTAACTTAAAATCACTTTGAGGAGATGTTAAACACTTGCAACTGGAGAAAACATCCGAGATGAAAAGGATTTATTAGTTTTAGATATTAGTACTGGTACTAAGAAAAAATCAAGATTACAAATAAAAAACACATTTGGAGGGAGAGAAGGGATTCAGTATGATTGAATAATGCTATCTCATTTAACCCATATTATAATTCGGAAAGGGTGGGATTATCAATTTCCATTTACAGATCAGGAAATTGAAGCTCACTGACAATAAGTAATTTAGCTGAGGCTCACCTATCTACCCTGATAGTCATGATTTGAACCTAGGACTGTCTAACTCTGAAGGCCATGCCACTCTGTTATGAGACTGAAATCATTCTTATTAAGTGATTTAGAGAACATTTAAGATAGGAGGTAAGATAAAACATGAGGTACCTGAAAACTTCGAAAAGTTTCGGACTGGCATGATGCGTTGGCGACTTTTCCCCTTCATTTCATTCTCATAGATTAAGATAATAGCTGGAGGCTGGAACCTAATTCCACATTTCTTGGCAGTGCACATCATTCTTACATACACTTCAGGGTAAATCAGAGGAAATCTGATGAAAATGTGTTAGTCACATAATGACTTCCTGCTAAAGGGGAAAAAAATATGTGTTGGATAAATCACACTCGCCAGTACCCCTCCTCCCCAGCAGATCTGGCTCTAGTCCAGTTCTAGAGTTGCATGCTCAGCCTGTCAATTTCAATACTTTGAGACCTACCCTGAAAGTTCAGTTTGGCCCTGGGGTTATCCTTAGTTGTTGGATCCCTGGTTCATTGAGGCATGTAGGTTTGTTCACACATGAGCCTGGAAATGCAGTTTAGTCTGGACCTCTCAGTGTACTGCACTCTTAACCAAAGATATGTATATGAACCCCTAAGTCAGCCCAAGAATCAACTTAGAGGATCTTTTTAATTTACCAATTAAACAAGTATGTACACGTACCCTCTATGGCAAGATACTATGATTTTTTAACCTTAAACATTATGTCCTGAGTGGTTCACCAGCCCACGTCTGTCTCCTCTGCACATTCCCAATCATTTTACTCATCGGGTTTTTTATGATTACTTATTGAATCATTTATCTTCCCTTCTATTCTATATGCTGCAGGAGGGCAGGGAACATATCCATTGTTACAGAATATCTCAGCAAAATACCATACATACTTGTTTAATGTATCAGGGGTGCCTGGGTGGCTCAGTCAGTTGAGGGGCCAACTCTTGGTTCAGCTCAGGTCATGATCTCAGGATAAGCCCGAGCCCCACACTGGGCTCTGCACTCAGCAAGGAGTCTGCTTCTCTCCCTCTCCCTTTGCCCCTCCCCTCACTTGCACACGCACTCGCTCTCTCTCTAATAAATAAATAAATATAATCTTTAAAAAATTTTAATTTAATATACTAATATAAGATACAGCCCCTGTATATCCTTTAAGTGTTTATAGTCTACAAGTCTGATAAAAAATGCAGACCCGGTACAGATTCAACCTCTACATATACAAGGCAATAAAGTTTACATGTTTTTTCTTTCAACTTATTTGTCTATGTTTTCTCAGTTACAAGAAACACAGCTATTTTGCAGTTAATACTTTCTATTCCCTCTTCCTGGTGCCTAATGCCAAAATACACTTAATTATAGGGATTGCTTTAGATAGGACTATGATATTCTCAGGAAGATTTGCAAATGTCAAGGAACCCAGAGGTAAAGCAGCATAGGGTGATGATACCTTTATAAACTTTATTCTGCTAGAGAATCACCATAGGAACATAGTACTTTGGAGAAGACTGGGGGTAGCATGGGGAAAGAGGAGGAGGAAACATATAAAATGATTACCCTTGATTCTTTCTTTTTTTTCTACACATATAGTTTTAGTATAGTATTTTTTATATTATACACCTATTTCCTGCCTTGTAAATTTAACAACTTATGTGATTTTGTCCTTAGATGCTTTACTAAAATGCACATTTCTATGACTTTCAAGTGTTTTGTCCTATGGATATACCATTACCTATACTATTCACTCTTTATTGTTGGACGTCAGAATTTTTACTCTTAAGAAATTAATCAGAGGGTCGCCTGGGTGGCTCAGTCGGTTAAGCGTCTGCCTTCCACTCAGGTCATGAGCCCAGGGTTCTGGGATCCAGCCCTGAATCAGGCTCCTTGCTCAGCGGGGAGCCTGCTTCTCTTTCTCCCTCTGCCTGCCTCTTTGCCTACTTGTGCTTTCTCTCTCTGTCAAATAAATGGATGAAATCTTGAAAAAAAGAAAGAAAGAAAGAGAAAGAAAGAAAGAAAGAAATCATAAAGAACTGCCTTTTCAAATTACTGTGCTCTGATCTGATGCAAACGATCCCACCCCACCCCCTTCTACAAATACTACTCCCAGTTCACGTCCTTAAAATCTAGTCTGTTAGTAAGCTTTCTAGGAGAGCCTACTGAGCACAGTATAAATTCCACGCACTCAAGCAAATAAATGGCTGTATTCATGACTGATGTATGCAATTGATAACAATGTCGCTTTTTTGACTACAGAGGCTTTTTAAAATTTAACTTTTAGGGGCGCTTGGGTGGCTCAGTCGGTTAACTGTCTGCCTCCGCTCAGGTAATGATCCCAGAGTCCTCGGATCGAGCCCCGCATCGGGCTCCCTGCCCGGCAGGAAGCCTGCTTCTCCCTCTCCCACTCCTCCTGCTTGTGTTCCCTCTCTCGTTGTCTCTCTCTGTCAAATAAATAAATAAAATCTTTAAAAAATTTTAACTTTTATTTGTAGTAAAGTAATGTTTATATTGTTTAAAATGTAAAATAATTCTGAGGATTATAACAAAAAACTGTTGTCCTCTGCCTTTCTCTCTTCATAGGCAACCAGTTTCAATTCTTTTAAGTGTTTCTTCCAAAATTTGTCTCCATATTTCTTAGTTTCATGCTTATACTGCTATTTTCGGTTTTCGATAATACAGTCTGACATCTTTCCTCTTGCAGACACCGGTCCTACCTTCAATCTGCACCTGGGCCTACTTACAGATTCAATTTAATTCATGAAGACAGACGATACACTGACCTAACTCTTCCTTCTCGGAATTAATACTTTTCTCCCCAGGAATCAGTGACTGCCATAATCTTGCTAAACATCCCCCACAGCACCTAAAAGTGTACGGATTTTGGCAACAGAGAGACGATCCTCTCCCTAACTCACGTCCCCGCTACTGCAAGACTGACTTTCTTACCCTTAGAGAAATACAGAAAGTGCATCCTCTGCAGGGGAAGGTCTTAAAACAGCCGTGAGAGGTTTGTTTCCACCCAACTGTAGTGCACAGAGGAGCACTTAATTCGACTTTGAGGCCGGGCGGAGCCTGCCGCTGTAGGAAGAGTAGACAGCCATAAACCCGCAGACTTGGCTGTAGGGTGAATTTCCCTACAGGAGGGCCGTATCCGCAAGTACCTGAAGTGGAGGTGGAGACGGAGCTCCCCAATACAGCTCGCAAGACTGCGCGGGTGATCCAGGTCCGGACCGGAGCCCACGGAGTCGTTCCCACAGCAACAGCCCTGGCGTACGTCACGGCGCGTGCGCCGCTCCTCGCCCCGCCCCTGACCGACGGCGAGGGGCGGGGCGGCGAGGGAGCCAATGAGGCAGCTAGGGTTGACGCCTCCCGCAACGCCGGAAGCTTCGGGGTTACTAGAGCTGCGGGGAGCCGGGGAACGGCCGGACCGCAGGCGCACGTACTGTCTTCCGTCAAGGTCACTAACTCCGTGGCAGCACGCTCTACGAGCGGCATAGGCGTGCGCAGTCTCCTCAGTTCGCATTTCGTCCCAGCGCGCTCCTCTGTAGGGCGCGTTCTCCAGCGTCCTGGCTGCCAGGGCCGTGGGCGTCCGGGCGGTGGCCTGGCTGCTCCTCTGGGAGGCGGCTGGACTTACCAGCACACCAGGCACGGACTTCGCCGCCGCGCCCAACTACGCTGGTAAAGGGAGGGGCGGGGCTGCGAGGGCGGGGGGCAGTCCGGACTTTTCCGTTCTCCGAGCTTTGCAAGGTTTGGTACTTCTCCGGACCTCGGTGCGTGGACGTAGAACCTGCTGGGTGACCTGGGGGAGGTTAAAAGCAGAGGCCACGTGCTTCCCACCCTTCCCACCCTACAGGCACTGCTCAGAGGCTTCTCTTGGGTCTCTGGAGAGTCTGGCTTTGTCGTTCAGAGGTAGTATTGGCCGTACTATTACTAAAATACCGTGAGTGAAGTACGGCGGTCAAGTGTCTTGAGATGCGTGAAGCTTGGGACCCCCGAGGGGACCAGCAAGGCCGCAGTGCCCTGTGGGGTGTGAGAATTCCAGTCCAGAATAGAGAGACTGACGGGGTAATGGCGTGGGAAGGGGAGGACAACTAGTTTTGCTTTACAAACTTTTTGTAATAGACTGGATTGGGCTGGAGCTTCTCTTATGACTACCGGCTGGGCAAGCGAGTTGATTCATTTCTTTGGGCCCAAGTTGATGGGCCGCAGTGCTGTGCTAGGTGCTGTGGATCCAGCGCTGAGCTAAATACGGCCCCAACCCTCGTGGAGCTTGCAGAGTAGTGGGGAAGTGCCGTAGTAATTACAATAAGGAAAGTCAGTACAAATTAGGTAAGTTCCTCCATCTGTAAAGTGAGGATATTAGGCTATGTCAGTCACAGCTTTTGTGTCTTCACATATTAGGTTTCCAAATTTATTTGAAGTATTAAGCCAAAATGAATTTTTAAACAACTGGATTTGGTGATCTCTAAAGACTCTTCCAGCCCTGGTATTTTATGATTAAAAAGAGGTCAATTTCCAGAGCCAGTTCAGGCCACAGTAATCAAAGTAATATTTAAGAGGAAGAATCTTGAAGGTCATTCAGATGCAACATTCATTTTGAAAATGGTATTTTTGTTTTAAAAATCATAAACAATCTATTTGCTATACTGTTTGTAAATTAATTTCTACCATCCCAAGATGAATGTGATTCTGTAGTGTATATCCCAATAGAATTTAAGCCTATTAATCTGACCTTTTTCTCCTAATTTAACTCATAGGTAGATATAAATCCTTACTCTCCACCCCTATTAAAATTAAACATAATGAAACATCTAGATTTGTAAAAAAAGATACTCGAGGTTGTTTTTTGGAAATGATTATATATGCTTCTCTGAAGCAAATAAGGATTTTTTTATAATAGATAGGAAAGTGGAAATACCCTGGGCTTTAAAACTCTGGCAAATCTTGCTTCTAATCAGTAACTTACTTAGTGGTATGGCCTAGAACCAGTTAGAAGTGTTTATTAATCAGAGTTTCCTCCTGTGTGCAAATGGCAGTAATTTTGCCTGCCTATTTTGCTAGGTTGTGAAAGTTAAAACATGTGAAAGCCCCAAGTAGAGGGTTTGTCATATGGATATCATTTAATAAATATTATTTTTCCATACTTTTTTCCTTCCCTTGTATATTTCAATGTTTTCATTTTCATACTTTTTCATGCATCTTTTCAGGAATAAATCTAATAGACTTAGCAATACACAATAATATATGGTTTTCTTTGTGTTTGCTCTAATGTTCTTTCCATGCACTTCCAGCTTTTGAAAATGGAGTAAAGGTCCATAGCAAGATACCTGGCAGAGTTGATGGTCATCAGTAACTGAATTATTTATTTATTTATTTATTTTTTAGTTAGAGTAAATCTTAGGCAGGCTCCACACCCAGCACAGAGCCTGAGATCATGACCTGATCCAAAATCGAGAGTTACATGTTTAACTGACTGAGCCACCCAGGTGCCCCTGAATTTTTAATTTTATGATGCTGACATCAAGTAATAGTTTTAATATCTGACTTCTGCATTGTGTCAGTACAGTGCGATTTGGGGTTATTCTAAGTTTATAAAGGAACCCTTTGAATCTTTCACAAGCCTCAGGTTTTTGTTTCTGTTTTAAACCTTCCCAACAGCTCCACAAGGTATAATTGTACCATCTTCTCAGTTTTGTAGGTGTGGGTGGTAGAATACAAAAGTTGGCAGTATGTATCTGAAACATGGTTTCAGTGAACCAGGATTAAAACTTGAGTTTTCCTGGCTCTTTAGCCATTCTTTTCCTTTTGGTGTCCTGGGATCATCTGAATAAAAGAGTATTAATGACAAACACTTACACAGAGCTCTTACTATGTGGTAAGCCCTGTTCTACGTGCTTCTTATTAAATTCTCATGACAGATAGCAAAGAGATAAACTATCTTGTCCAAAGTCACATAGCTTTAAGGGACAGACTCAGATTTGAAACTAGGCAGTTTAACTCCAAAGTCAATGTTTTTAATGCCTAAGCTATATTAGAAGTAGCTTTTTAGATAGCTCAAATTGTTTAAGTTTTAAAAGCTTTTGTTTTGTTTATAGGTTGGTTAGATTTTCCAGGCAAGTAAAGCCTATTCAAACAATTTCTAATTATTTAAATATTCTTTCATTGAGTGCTTATTTTATTTTAAGAAATCTTCTGGTTCTTATAGGCATAAGGGCCACTTGTTCAGAAATTATTTTGAGGCAAGAAGTTTTGAAAGATGGTTTCCATAGGTAAGTTGCCCACTGACTTTTACTTATGTCAAAATACTGTTTCGTATAATTTAGAGCAAAAAATCAATAGCTGGAAAATGGATAAACTGAAAATCTCTTACTTTCTTACAAGTTATAAGTGACAGATTTATCATCTGTGGTACACAGTTTGAAATAATGATCAAAATAACAGTAGAGGGGTGCCTGGGTGGCTCAGTAGGTTAAGTGTCTGCCTTTGGCTCAGGTCATGATCTCAGGGTCCTGGGATGGAGTCCTGTGTCAGGCTCCCTACTCAGCCAGGAGTCTGCTTCTCCCTCCGCTTGCCACTCTCCCTGCTTGCACACACACTCTCTCTCTCTGTCAAATAAATTATTAAAAATAAATAAATAACAGTAGAGAAGAGGAGAAAACAATTGTGTATTATTTACCATGCATGTGTATTTTTTTAAAGATTTTATTTATTTTTGAGAGAGTGTGCGCATGAGCACGAGTGACGGGAGTTGGGGGGGCAGAGGGAGAAACAGACTCCCTGCTGAGCAGGGAGCCCAATGTGGGACTCGATCCCAGGACCCCAGGATCATGACCTGAGCTAAAGGCAGGCACTTAACCGACTGAGCCACCCAGGTGCCCACATGTGTATTTTTAATATATATAACATACATATAGCCAGATTTACTTAATCTTCACAATGGTTGTGAGATAGACGATACCTTTCTTGTTTTTCACTTGATCTTAGCCAGAAGGCCAAAAAGTGATTCCCTTTTTCCTTTTCAGTTGAGAGAAGTAGGGTTCAGAGAATTTAAATAATTTAGTAGAAGTTAGGGTGGTAGGGCTCTAACTCAAATTTATGACTATCATACTCCAAAGCCATGCTCTCATGTACTAAGATATTATATCACCCTAAATCACTGCTTCTGATTTATAAGACTTGGTTCCAAATGACCAAGCTGTTCCCAAAATAGAAATTATTCTCGGGCAACCCTCTCAGGTCCCCTTCCTCTTTGGGAGCTTTGTATTCTATCATTCAGTAAACTTTACTATCGCTCAATAAACCTTGCTTTGCTTCCCACTTAAAAAAATTCTCAAAAATGAATATTTGCTAGTATTGAAGATATTTACAAGACTAATAAAAAGTTGTAGAAACTGTTCTGTAAGAAAAGTTCCCAAACTTTAAAGCTTTTCAAGGTAATTAATTTGAAATGATTCTATTATTTGATATACAAAATCTGATACATTTATTTTTTAAAATTGCTGCATTTTATAAGTCACCTTAAACTGAGACATCTCACTCTCACTCTCTTTAAAGTTAGCCTACATGTGAATGGCTAGGAGGTATAGTAGAAAAAACTTGGGGTTTGTTTTGTTTTTGTTTTTTAACTCAGATTTGGGCTCAGAGTGTAGCTCTATTATTTAGTAACTCTCGGCCTTAGTCAAGCTTACTTAAATCTTTGCCACCTTACCAGTAAAATTAGATAATGATAGTATTTCCTCATTAGGTTCACGAGGATTAAATCTGAGAATATATGGGAAGTCTTTTAATGTAGTGCTTATCACATAGTACATCCCCAGGAAATGTTAGCTCTTATTACAAACAATGAGATAGATGATCAAGTTGGGCAATACAGTTTCAGAGAAAGAGGAGATGTGACTATAAAGTAATAAAACTGATTTTGGGAGGGAAGTCACTTCTAAAAGGAGTTTTTGACTGAGTTTTAGACAAATTTTAAGCAGTGTCAGGGTAGTTATGCCAAGGTTATAGCTGCTTCTTTTTTTTTTAAGATTTATTTGAGAGAGAGCATGCGTGCAAGCGGGGGGAGAGGCAGAGGGAGAGAGAATCACAAGCACACTTCCCATTGAGCACCATCCCAGGACCCTGGGATCGTGACCTGAGCAGAAATCAGAGTCTGATGCCCAACCGACTGAACCACCCACCACCCATGCCAAGGTTATAGCTTCTGTCTTTAGAGAAATTGGTATGTATTCTCAAGAGAAATAGGAAATACTAAATAATGCAAATTTGATAGTGTAATTATAAGTGACTCCAGTGAGGAAGAAAGAAGTTCCTGAAGAGGCTATCGTGACAGCAAAAGTAGCTGTCCAGTTAGAAGTACTGAAGGTAAAAACCAGGACATAAAACCAAGGATGAAGAGTGACAGAACCCATAAGGATAGATTCAGAAACTAGAAATCTCAGTTATTTGAGACCTTCAGAAAAATGCCAGTAATCATTTTTTAAAAAGGCTTTTTAGTTATGTTTAGAGTAGGTATAATCTTGCTGCTAGGGTAGAGGAAGAAACATTAACAGATTATAGAAAGTAGAATTTGTTAGCTTTTCTTATTTCTGTCTTCTTGGTCAAGAAGAATTACTTCCACCCTGGAGAGGGTCAAGCAGATATTGGTAGGAGGAAACTGAAGTGCAGAATATGTAAGGGAATTATATAAAAGGACCTTACTATTATGAATGAGTTTAGGGTCTCCCTTCTGTGATGATCTATAGTTCAGTGCAGTAGAAGAATTTGCTTAAATGATTGCTGAACTTCTGTTTGTAATCTTTGGATAATCTGGGGGTTAGTTAGTTGATGTAGCTTTTGGGCAAAATTCTAGCCCAGATTGTTAGAAGGATGGTTTGTGAACACAAAAGAGGCAGTGGTAGTCTCTGGGAACTAGCATGAATTTATGACAAATTTTTGTCCTATAGATCCACTAGATAGATCAAAGAAGTGCTGTAGATGTAGTGTATCTGATCTTCTGCAAGACTTTTTATGAAGTTTTAACATGTTGTATTTGTGAACAAGATAAAGAATGTGAACTGAAAGATAAAACAGTTGAATGAGTTCATAAAGATCAACAGAGTTATCCAACATGTTCTGATTAATAGATTGAATGTCATCTTGGAGGGAGGTCCTGAATAGTCTCTGTCTTTTTAAATACATATATTTTTTCTAATTATAAAATAGAACATGTTCATAAATACATATGCATTATCTGGAAGAAAAGATATTATAGGTGTATTCTACTTTTATAGAGGAAGAGTGATATAGTGGCTAAGAATGTGGGCATTAGAGTAAAACTATTAGGGTTTGAATCCTGGCCCTTGGATAAGTTAGTTTCTCAGTGCTTCGATTTTTTCTTTCTTTTTCTTTCTTTTCTTTTCTTTTCTTTCTTTCTTTTTTTTCAAGGAGGGAAAATATTTTTGTTTCCTCAAATCCTTTTGGATTTAATTTAATTTAAATCCTTTTGGATTTAATTGATTTGCATATTCTATCTTTAACTTTTACATCACTAGAAATATTTTTGGATGAAAATAGAATATAACAATGCCACAAATATTATTCAAAATTCTTTCAATGAATACAAATTATTAGGAAAATAAAATGCTATGTGTAAAATTACCTCAGGCTACTTGGAAAAATATAAGCCAAAAAAAAAATCCAAAACAACTCTTTCTCTACATAGCTGCTCTTAATAGTCAATTCTTAAAATTGCTGCTGTGTTCTAGAAGCAATGAATCCATAAAAATTTATTGATTGAGAACCAAAACCTAATATCATACATTTATATAAAGTCTCAAAGCATTTCCCCATACCTTTTGAGTCAGAAGTAACAATTTTTCTATAAAGACTGTAACACGGGTGTTTTAAACTTGGTGCTTTGTTTTCTTACAGGTAAAAGAGGAATTATTATAGTACTATTTCATAGTGATTTTTTAAAAGATTTATTTATTTATTTTTGGGGGGAGGGGTAAGGGAGAGGGAGAGAGAGAGAATCTCAAGCAGACTCTGCGCTGAGCATGGGGCCTAAGGACCCCGAGATCATGACCTGAGCCGAAACCAAGAGTCGGTCTTAACTGACTGCTCCACCCAGGCACCCCTCATAGTGATTTTTTAATCAACTTCACTGAGTTTTGACAAGTCTATATACCCACGTAACCACCACCCCAATCAAAATATAGAGTATTTTCATCATCTCCAAAAATACCCATGTGCTGCTGCTTCGAATTACTCTCCCTCACCCATACCCAGACTCAGCTAACCACTGATCGATTTTCTTTAACTATATAGATTTTCTAGAATTTTATGTAAATGAAACCATACAGTATATCTTTTTGATATCTCGGTTCTTTCACTCAGCATTATATCAGTGAGATTTATCCATGTTCTACATGGCAGTAATTTGTTCCTTTTTGTTGCTGAGTACTAAAATTTGTTTATCCATTCACATTTTTATGGCATTGGGGTCATTTCTAATTTTGGGCCATGATAAATAAAGCTATAATGAACATCTGTGTACAAGTCTTTATATGAACATGTTTTCATTTCTGTTAGGTTGCTGGGTATATGGTAGGTGTATGTTGAACTTAAGAAACTGCAAAACTGTTTTTCAAAGTGGTTATACTGTTTTACATTCCTATGAGCAGTAAATGAGAGTTCTGTCCCTGCCACATCGTTGCCAACACTTGGTATGGTCAGTCTTTTTAATTTTAGAGATTCTGGTCGGTGTGTTGTGGTAACACATTGTGGTTTTAATGGGTATTTCCCTGATGACTAATGGTGTTGAGCATCTTTTCATGTGCTTTTTGGCCACTGGTGTATCTTCCTTTGTGAAGCGTCTGCTTAAATCTTGTCTACTTTTATTTAATTATTTAATTGATTTATTTATTTTTAAGATTTTATTTGACAGAGAGAGAGATAGAGAGCGTGCACAAGCAGGGGGAGTGGCAGAGGGAGAGGGAGAAGCAGGCTCCCCGCTGAGCAGGGAGCCTGACATGGGGCTGGATCCCAGGACCCTGGGATTGTAACCTGAGCCAAAGGTAGATGCCCAATCAAATGAGCCCCCCAGGTGCCCCAAATCTTGTCCATTTTTAAACTGAGTGGTTTGCCATCTTATTATTGGGTTGTAAGAATTCTAATTTTTAATTTATCAATTTTTTCTTTTATAGTTAGTGGTTTTGGTTCTGTGTAAGAAATCCATGTCTGTTTCAAGATCATTGAAATTTTCTTTTAGAAGTGTCATCTGGGGCAG